CCCCCCACCCCCCCCCCCCCCCCAAAAAAAATATATAAGGAAAATAAACTGAACATTAAGATTGTAATTACTAAGTTCAGCAGATAACAATGAAACTCCTTTTTCACAAAAGAAACAATTCATAAGAAAATGATACCTATCTGTCAGACCCACAGTTGCGGCATCAGCTGGCACAAAACTGCCAATGTGGGAGAGAAAAACAATTGTAGCAACCTGCAAAATCCTTCTCGTTACTTTATGATCATATAGCAACACGTGTAGTAACTACACGTTAGACTGTATGTCGAGGAATCAACTATCTGAAGAACTGTTCTGTGAAAGTCAATAATTTTAAGTCTTCAACACAGTCCCTCACAAAATCCTCTGTTCTGGGGAGGAGGATAAGCACAAGCCCATTTAAGATATGTAATCATACACAAACTAGATAATATAATAGACGTTGATATTTATCATTTTAATTTTAATATACTTGTAAAATAACTTTATCATTAAATTGTGATATCATGTAATAAATTTGATACATTATTGTATTTATTAAATAATAATATAATATAACATAAATTTTAAGAGAAAACTACACTTTCTTAGGTACGGTTGGTGCTTCTCTCTAATTAGGGATATTATATACTTGTATTTAATGCAGGTCTTATTATGCCCCTAAGTTTTGTCCAAACTTTTATCCCAAAAGTACATGCTAATTAAATTCTTTTTTCAATTGGATAACAGAAAAAATGTTAAAATGAAGTACATGAGCAGTGAACCAAATATCGAGAAAATAAAAATATACAAAATCCAGAAGTTCATACATGTAATACCAAAAATTTATTCTGCAACATTTTTTTTCATTGAGAGACTAGTTAAAAATATTATTTCATTTGGAGACTAGAAGTTAAGATCATATAGATAGAAAGACCTTTTCAATATTATTGCTATTTAAAAGAGTACGACCAAATATCCTAGAGAATACATATCCAGAAAAATAAACTAATAACTGACCTGCTTTATATAGATACTTTTCCCCGAAAAATTAGGACCAGTGATGATATTAATTCTTCCTAATGGAAAGAAAAATTGAAAAGGGATTAAGAACAGTATAATTTGATCAAAACAGATTGCAATGACATAAGTTGGATAATATCAGTTATGTAAGTCAATATCTGTTTACCATCATGAAGAATCTTAGTGTCATTAGGAATAAATGTGTCTACAGTCATTTCCTGCAAAACATGCCTGCAAACAGCCAATTTTTGATCATTAACCATATCAATGATTCTCCATTTCCAAGAGGTTCTTATAAACTAAATTGGTTTGAACCTTCCATTTTTTATATCGAGCAAATTTTCTTCAGTCAACAAAGGCCTGACATAATTGTTTTGCCGAGCAACCAATGCCATTGATAAAAAGCTGAAATAAAAT